TTGTAATTACTAATCAACGTTAAAATGGACTTTACCAAATAAAGTGCAGAAAAAAGGAAAACAGGGATGAGTTGATGGCAATTCTGCCTTGAAATAGCACAAAACTTTGGCAGAGAGTTTTTAGTTGCATCCGGTCTGCATCGGTAAAGCCTACACACTATGCCCAACTTCTCTGCTTTAAATCTGATCTGCAGGTTATGAAATCAAGGCATAGAAGAAGAGACCAAGTTAATTCAGACTGGATTAGTGATATCGTTGCCACCGTCCTCGTTCGGCATTTCTCATCCTTTCACTGAGGGTTCTGGTATTCTGTGGTGTTTCCTTCATGTTGCAGAAACCATTGTTGGGTTCTGCGTAACTTGTTAGTGATATTGACAGTAGGGACTTTAAGATCCAAAGACGCAGACGACAACAAGAACGTCAAAAAAACAATAGGTTTAATTAGCAAAACAACAACTTCGCACGTGCATCACACTGTTTTGTACATTTCTTCCCCGTTTTTGCACGACTACCACGTGAAAATGCCTAATTTTGCGTTTTATGGAGGACGTAAACAAGCAACGACGAAATTCTATTTTTCTTATTGTACTCGGATATGGTGCTTAGAAATTCAACTCCAGGAGGGTTCGCCTACATTTGACCAAGTGAGTGGGTAGGAATAATTGCGATCAAGACTGAAAGAACGCAAATTCACTTTTTAAGCGATGTTCTCATTGCCGTCGCGTCGTTGGATCTTTAAGTCCCTAGTGAAAAGCAGACCACGCCTCCTCATGTCTATTTAAGTTATTTGGTTAAGGAAACAAAGAAATACTACTATAACTACAGTAGCTGCCATCATTTTTCGAAGTGGTACCACGCGCGTCTCGTTTGTTTGAGAGTTGTTAAGTTTGTACATCCCTTCGCCGAATTTTGTTGACCTGGGTCAGGGGCTCAAGGGGAAAATATAACGGAAATCTCAAATCAGAGTAATGCCCTTTTTCTGTCTGGAATAATTGAATAAAGACGAAATATTCGAATAATGAACACCTCATCATTCCTCTTCACCCCGAACTTAGGATAGACTTGAACCGATCAAATACATCATAGACCATTCTAACCACAGGACCCATGTTCAAAACGAGATTTATAATTCGCTAGTTAAAAATGCGCGCGAAAATAACACTAAGCATCTATTAGTGTTTACTACCCTAATGAAGCAATTTTTGTGTGCTTTTGTAGTCTTCGTTGTCGATGTTCTATTTATTTATGTATTTGTACAATTCCCGGCGCATTTTAGGATGCTTTTCTACATTTGCGGATATCTGTTACAAAGTACTTTGCAGATGAGCGGGAAAACCAAAGAAAAACTGTAGTAAGATGACAACGTGCCTTTCCTTCTCGAGTATAAATAAAACTTTCCGTGCTTCATTTCGACCACGAGGAAAACTTAAGAAAGAAATTAAAGGGAAAAAATTTCCTTTTAATGCAGTCGGGTTTTGAGTAGATACTCAGATGCAACAGGAAAGGCGGTGCTTTGTGCTTTAAATAAGGTTACTCAGCCTAAGAGGTGGAAAGCCGCAGTTTAAGAATAATAAACAAAACAATTGACGAAACTATCAAGCAGCACTCTTGCTAAAAGTTACTTCTAAGGCCTGGTTCAGACGCCGTACTTTTCATGCGCCGAACCTAAGTTCGACTTTGGAGCGACACTGGCGCGACATCTGATTCAGACGGCGTACCGTGTGTCGAACCTAAGTTAAGTTCGACAAAAGTTCGACAGACTCTGTCGAGCTGAACGCTTTTGCCGCACCAAACTAAAACTGCCGTACCAAATTGATTCAGACGCCGCTCTTTTGCCGTACTTAATTCATCAGTTAGGTTCGGCACATGAGTGGAGCGGCGTCTGAACCGGGCCTAAGTTGAGTTCTGAATAAATTTCCGAATTGAGTAACATTATCTGAAGTGCCGGGATAAAGGAAAGCACTTGTTATTATGAAGCTACTAATTGGTCGCAGGTACAAATTTGCCTAATGGAGCAAAATTAAAGTGTGGAATTATTAATTGAGATAGAAACATCAAAAACTTATTATAGGAAATTGACACTTCATGATATTGAAGTCAAGTTAATTTCTGTAAACGTTAATTTCCGTGCCGTTAATTAAGTGGAGCGTTAATTTCCGCGACCTTAATTTCCATTATTTTGGCCCCAAATTCTCAGTACACTTCTGACGTTCTTGACACCTGAGAAAGAGGAGTATTTTATCAGGTAGAGATTTGCCAGTAACGGGGAAAACTGTGAAGAACCCTCGAAGCGGACATATTTCTTCGCTTGACTCCCTTCGTACGTTTAGGGAAAGTACTGCGAAAAAATAAAGTTTCGACTCATACGTTTAACTTTGTTCCTGTTGTCTCAACTAGATGCGCTCGTGCAAACGTCGCGTTTAATTTCCTTCATTTGAAATGTTAGCCTCTCTTTCGCCTTAATTTTCTTTATTCGAAAGTCGTTTTCCACTAAATCCGCGCTATTTACTAGCGTCGCTTAAATTTCATGAGCGTCTAACAACCGGGCCTCAGTTATCATAATGATTGCAAACGTTTCAAGTTCAACTTTGACCGCAAGGTTTCGAACATTATTGGGGAGCAATAGCTAACTGTTCTAGTTAAGATTATTTAAATCATTAACATCATCATCGACAGCATCGCCTGCCCTTTCACGGTTCTGCTGAACGTTTTGGTGATTTTGGCGGTAAAAAGTAGACCTGAGGCCTTCATAGCCAAACTAAGATCTTGTTTGCTTGTCCGTCTAGCAGTCGCATACGCCATTAGTGGTCTGATATAGCAGCCAACTTTCATCTTCGACACCACTCTAAAGCTCTTTATAATAAGATGAACCGATTTCTTTCATTTTTTTACCTGTTTTAAAACAGCACAACGCGTGACCTGGCTCTTCGTCTTTTCTGCGCTGCACCTGATGTTGGTGACTTGGGAGAGACAAGCGACCAAATTTACCATGCACTACTATTAAATTATCAGAAACAGAAGCATCAAGGTGGCAGTGATTGCGTTTGGATCGTTTCTCGATTCTCTGAACTGGACGCACTTCTATGACAGACTAAATAATATTTTCAAACGTTTTAACAGGTCTTGTTTTAATTTTGTGTGTTCTATTTGTTTCATTTTCTTATTTGATTTGATATGTGATCTGAGAATCACGACGGGCATGAAAATATGACCAAAGCCGGACAGCTTTCGCAAGAGAGAGAAAGAGAGATTTGCTAAAGAAAACAAAGCGCTTAAAACAACTGTGTATATGTATAGTTGGAGCTGTTCTGATATGCCTGACCCCTGTCGCTGCATAGCTATTAGTCAGTAGTATTTTGAGAGTTTCAGAGAAAGAATTTTGGGCACAACTTGTATCAAATACACTCAGTTGGGTCAACTGACTAGGTCGACGGTTCGCACGTTTGTTTACTTAAAAAACTCGCTCCTCCAATCATTTATGGCTGGCGACAAAAAGAAATGAGAGAGTTTTATTCAGCAAATTCTAGGCAAGTCAAGATGTGCATCAGACTACGTCTTAAGCAAATGATATAAAACGATAAAACCGCTATACAAAAATTATGGTAAGAACTTTGTTATTTCCTTTCATTCAACCGAATTTTTTGAAGTGTAACCGGACGTGTATGTGAAAAAAAAAACTCTGAAACTGATACTGAACTCATTCTGACAAAGAGCGTTATGAAAAAAAAATACAAGATTCAGAGGCGATTGAGATTTCACTTCGATCGTCGGCTTTAGTAAGAGAACTTAAAAACAAAGCTAACATCTAACTTGTAACCTTGAAAGTGTCTGCGGCCGCCTAAGGGAACGTAAAATACGGAGTTTGTATGAGAGTTGAAACGGGATTTTGAGATGGTGGCCGTAGGTAGAGCTGTCCGCTTACAAGAACTTCCACTCATGGTCGCAAAAACACTTTCCTTTTCGTTTAGTGTCATGATTAGACTAAGTTAATCTTAAATGCTTTCTTAAGGTAATTCTCTTGAAAAGGATGTACTATCCAGATTTTTTTTTAAACTTGCCACAATTGAAAGTCATGTGTAGGACATTGAAAAGCTGCTATAACAAGACAGTGTTACCGTGCTTGTTTTTGCCCTGCAGACCCATAATTCTATGTTCGAAACTTGTTTTCCTGTTAATGTGTTTAGTTTCAAGTACATATTCAGATGAAAGAAAACAAGAACGCTTGTAATAGCGTTGGGTCTCGCTTGCTTGGAGATAAGATAAGAAATGAGGAGGCGATTAGATCGCGAGCGGTCGTCCTTCTTTCCGCAGAACCACGTCCGGCTGATGAGCGAAAAAGTAAAATCATTCTCTCGACCTACTGTGACTCAAAAGAAAAATAAGAGACTGGTCGCAGCCTAGGAGGCGATTAATTCTACACGAAACAGGATTTCCTCGCTAATTTTTTTTCAATATCTACTTTATCGGCGGTCGAGTATTCTTCAGGATATTTACTTTTTACATCGTTTTCGACGAATTTTTTTTTAAATTGATTAGAACGCGTGCGTAAATACCACAAAACAGGATTTTTCACTGTCTGCGCTAGGAACGCCTGGGACCATGGCCGACCATTTGAGGGAGACATACGAAAAAAAGAAGCGCAGGCATTTTTAGTGCCACTCTGCTAAAGCGCTAGCAAGCTCGACTAAAGAGCGATCATCGCCCTTAGCGAATAGAGTGACAAAGTTTTGGAGGCCTGAGTGGCGGAAAAACACTGTTTGAGAATAATGAACAAAAAAATGATGAAAGTTATCAAGTAACATGCACAAATGGGTTGAAGTGGATAAAGGAACGCGTTGATTAAAGCTACCGTAACCGACAGTCGGTAAAAAATTTGCCTAATGGAACAAAATTATCATCAATTGTTGATAAAAATTACGGTGTGAGCGTACATAAACCACAACTAAGACTTCAGTAGTCTCATAACATGCACCAGCTGTAACACGAGGATCGCTCCCCTGATGGCAAACGTGTCAAGATCAAATTCGACCAGCAAGGTTTTAAATACTATGGTGGACCAAGAGTTGACTTTCCCACTTCAGGTTAGTTATATAACTAACATCATCTTCAACAGCATTTCTTGCCCTTTCACTGTTCTGCTTAACGTGTTGGTGATTTTGGCGGTGAAAAGCAGACCACGTCTTCAGAGCAAACCCAATATCTTGTTGGCTTGTTTAGCAGCTACAGACGCCATGAATGGTCTCGCAGCACAGCCACTTTTCATCTTCGCATTAACACTGACGCTATTACGTATAAACAAACAAACCCTAGAGTTTTCAATCGTTATTCAGAACTTGGTTTCGCGCGCCCTGTTTGTTTGTTCTGCACTGCACCTGATACTGGTGACTTGGGAGAGACTTGTAGCGATCAAATTCACCATGAACTACCCTTACATTGTGACAAACAGAAATATCAAGCTGGCAGTGATTACATTTTGGATCGTTTGTCTTTTCTCTGAAGTAGTAGCACTTACTACAAACAAAACAATATTTACAAACGCTTTAACAGGTCTTGTTTTAATTGCATGTGTTATTTTTGTTTCATTTTCTTACGGGATGTTGTACAGAGAAACGCGACGGCATGAACGTTTGATCAAAGCTGGACAACTTCCCCAAGAAGAAAAAGAGAGATTTTCTAAAGAAAGCAAAGCGCTTAAAACAACTGTGTATGTAGTTGGAGCTGTTCTGATATGCCTGACCCCTGTCGCTGCATGGCTATTAGTCAGCAGTATTTTGAGAGTTTCAGACGAAGAATTTTGGGTACAACTTACTCAGTTGCGTCAATTGACTAGATCGACAGTTCGCACGTTAGTTAACTTAAACTCGCTTCTTAATCCAATCATTTATTGCTGGCGACAAAAAGAAATGAGACAGTTTGTGTTCAGTAAATTCTGGACAAGTCGAGATGTGCATCCGGCTAACTAAATTAAAAAAAAACAAACAAACAGGAACAGGAAATAGCCAGTCGGCCACTAACTCAGTAAGAGCAATTAAATGACTTCTTCAGTAATACGGCATCTCTTCCTAAGTTCACCGGAGGTTCAGTTTTATTTCAGTTTTTTTTTCCTTGGGGTGGATTTCCACTGTCGTGTAATTTTTCCGTGCGAACGCACGTAAAATGTGCGTGCGTAAATGGGTTAAAAGCAATGTATAAAAGTGTACGCGTAAACGTAAAAGTTGAGCGAGGTTCAACTTTTACGTCTACGTGTTCCATACATTGCCTCTATTCTATTTACGTGCGTAAAAATTACGTGCGTGTGAACATAAAAATTACGCGACAGTGGAAATCCACTTTAAACAAACTTTGATCCGAGAAGCAGCGACAGTTCTCTCTGCTGTTTGCGCTTCAAGGTTCAAGTTCGATTTAGAGGACAAAGAACTTCTCTTAAGACAGCCCCAGCATTTTACCATTTGCCATCTCATCATTTTTCGACAGTTGAAGTAATTAAATATTTTAATATATAAATTCATTTCGCCGCTCCATGTGGAAGTTTGCACGAGGCTTCCAGGGTTACACTGAATCTTTTTTTTTTCGGATTTGTTTGCTCCTTTCGGACAAGAAAGATAGAAAAATGACCGGATCAGAAACTGATCATCTTTGGGGTTATTACAAGTTGTAGGACGAGGCGAGTCTTGGGGCAAACAATGAATCTTCAATGTTGAGATAATTTCAATGGAAAATCACCTTTAGGGAAAGAGCAGCATCAGTTCGTGAGTCTGTAAAAATATTTTAAAAGATTGAACGAAAAAAAATAACGTTGCACACCTCCAATTAATATCTACTACAATCAAAACCTTTAGAAAGCAGTTTTAAAAAGGCAAACTCTTAAATTGTCTTGTTTGGATCACTCTCGTAAACATACTATCACAACAAATAGCTTCAAAATAATTTGAGTAAAATAAAAGACCAAAAATTACTCTGGCTCCAGAATTCCGTTCTCGAAATACCTAGTAACTAATAAACGCTAAAATGGAGTTACAAATTTGAAACTGTACACGAAAAAACTGACAACACTGATTCGCTCCCACAAACTGAACAACAAGTTTTCAAATCAAACGTAGAACAAGAGACCAAGATAAGGTTAATTTTAAAATTGGAAAATCGAACTTTTTCAAAAGATCCTTAACCGACGTTTTGGCAATGCTGCCTTCTTCAGGGTACAAGACTAAAAAAGTATTGTACCCTGACGAAGGAAGTATTGCCGAAACGTCCGTACGTTAAGACTCTTTTAAACAGAGTCGATTTTACGCTGCGCAGGGATTTTAATCTTTATTACCAAGATAAGGTTAATGATGTCGTTAAAACCGTCCGTATTCGGCAATTCTTGCCCTTAATTTTTTCTACTTAACTTTTAATGCTGTTAGTGTTTAGAGATGGACCACGCCTTTGGAATAAACCCAACATCTTGCTGGCTAGTTTGATACAGTCACAGATTCCATGAATACGCTCGCAGAACAGCCAGGCTTTCTCGTAACTAGTCAGAAATACGCTATCTAACAAAAAGAACCAGCTACTACCATTTCACATCGTTTTTCTAAGTGCTGCCTCACGCATCTTGTTTTTTTGTACATCGTTTTGGCTAATTTTGTTGTCTGTTTTCTCTTCGCACAATATTTGAACCTTAATTACAGGAGCATCCTACACGTGCGGACATCCGTTGTAAATTACTTCACGCGTACTGGATGGTTACCAGTTCAATGGAAAAACTCTACTCTAGGTAAAAAAATCAGCAAGGGTAAGAGCTGGATGAAAATGTATCTTTCTTTGATTCTTAGCATGAACATAACTTTCCGTGATTAACTTTGGCCACTGTTATTTTCTAAAAATTCGGAGCAAAACTGAAAATAAAGAAAAAAGGAACAAGTTTTCCTGTTAATGTATTACGTTTTAAGCACATATTCAGATGCAAACTAAGAAAGAGCGATGTTTTGAGTGAATAGGGCGGACTCAAGTTTGGAGGCACAAGTGGCGGAAAAGCGGCAGTTTCACAACAATGAAAAAATGTCGACGAAATTTATAAAGTAACACACCTGTATTAAAGTCAATGGGGAATTAATATGAAAATTTGCCTAATGGGGTAAAACAACCTGAAGTGGGTAAAGAAACGCACTTGTTCAAAGCTACTAATTAACCGTCGGTAAAATTTTGCCTAATGGAGCCGAATTATCAAATATGCATAACAATTAAGGTACGGATAAGAATAAGCTATATAACTAAAAATTTATGAGTCTCACAACACCGTCCTATGCATGGCAAACGTGCCAAGTTCAAATTTCACCAGCAAATTTTTAAGCACTATGGTGGACCAAGAGTTAACTTACCTAGTGAAAATTAGTTATATAACTAACATCATCTTTCACAGCATCGCTTGCCCTTTCACGGTTCTTCTTAATGTGTTGGTGATTTTGGCGGTGAAAAGTAGACCACGCCTTCGAAATAAACCCAATATCTTGTTGGCTTGTTTAGCAGTCACAGACGCCATGAATGGTGTCGCAGCACAGCCAGCCTTCATCTTCTCAACGACTCTGAAGCTATTACGTATGACCAGCCAAACCCTCGAGTTTTTTCACAACATCGCCTCACGCGCCCTGTACGTTTGTTCTGCACTGCACCTGATGTTGGTTACTTGGGAGAGACTTGTAGCGATCAAATTCACCATGCACTATCCTTACATTGTTACAAACAGAAACATCAAGCTGGCAGTGATTGCCTTTTGGATTGTTTGTCTTTCCTCTGAACTAGTAGCACTTATTACAAACCAAACAATATTTACAAACGCTTTAACAGGTCTTGTTTTAATTGCATGTGTTATTTTTGTTTCATTTTCTTACGGGATGTTGTACAGAGAAACGCGACGGCATGAACGTTTGATCAAAGCTGGACAACTTCCCCAAGAAGAAAAAGAGAGATTTTCTAAAGAAAGAAAAGCGCTTAAGACAACTGTGTATGTAGTTGGAGCTGTTCTGATGTGCCTGACGCCCGCAGCTGCATGGCTATTAGTCAGTAGTTTTTTGAGAGTTTCAGCGGGAGATTTTTGGGCACAAGTCACTCCGCAATTGCCTCAATCGACTAGGTACACGGTTCAATTGACGGTTCGCACGTTTGTTTACTTCAACTCGCTTGTTAATCCAATCATTTATTGCTGGCGACAAAAAGAAATGAGACAGTTTGTATTCAGTAAATTCTGGGTAAGTCAAGATGTGCATCCGGCTAACTAAATTCAAAGAACTAAAGTAAAAATAAATTGATAAGACCGCTATGCAAAACATTTCGGGTGCACGCTCGATTGACCTTATAATGGAACTCAAGACTACACAGGGGCACACAACGTCAATTTTCGGAAAATATCTGTTCGGAAGACGATTTGAGATCTAAAATTTTCGGAACATGTGTTGTAAGTTTCTTGCTTGCCTGCCTCTCCTAGGATTTTCGAATATCTGAAAAATGGTATAATTGCCCATTTTTAACGGATTTTTACCCTAAAAAGGTCACCTAGAATTTTCGGGAGCATTTTTTCTGGCTGAAATTTTCGAAAGGGTAAGTTTTGATCTCTTCAATTTTCGAATCAGTGGTAAGACTTTAGCTAGGAAATCCGAACAGATGAAAACTTTTTAGGGGATAAAAATATGCCTACATCTACCGTTTAAATACTAAAATACGTTTAACAATGCTATGTCGAACTGGTTTTGAACTAAATTCTCGTTGGGTGCCCCTGACTGCATCAGGAGCTCTACAAATATATTGAGTGGCAATCAACACATCTTTGACGAAACTGAATATTATAATTTTTGTAGTAGTTTTAAAAGAAACTCTAGACGGACAAAGATTTGACGGAAGGAAATCACGGTCGTTTGGACGATAGTTGGCCTTTGGAACCGGAATAACTCTATTTTGCCGTCATCGATAACGTCCTCCACTTTATTTGTCGTGGTGAACACCGGCCATAACGCAAAGAAAATGACGTCATCATTCACCAATTCACGTGACAACACTGCGCGTTCATTGATGGTAAAGACTGGGTCGAACTGTGCGATACAGTCGAAACTGAGCTACAATAATAAAAAAAATCTGAGACCTTCTGACACTAGAATTTATTTCTCAAAACATTCCGTTTATTTCAACCCGCCCCTCTGCTGCCCGAGGCAAAATGTTTGCGATGTACTCCACTTATCCTGAATTGGAACAGCAGGTTAATAGAACAGACATTCCGGATTAATCTGTGTATACATCCCGATTCCGCAATAGGGTTTGTTATCTTTGTTTGCTTCTCTGATAGCTTTTCTCCCAGTAAATGCGTGTTCAGTCTAAAAGAGGCCTTAAGACTGGAACGGCTACGGCGGCGAAAACGTCGCTTAAAAAGTGAATTCGCATTCTCTAAGAACCACTACGTCCCCCATAAAACGAAAAAATTTGGCATTTTTACGTCGTAGTCGTGCAGTGACGACAAAGAAATTTACAAAAAAGTGCGATGCAGGTGCAGAGGTGCATGTTGTTTTGCTTATTAAACCTATTGCTTTCTTTCTTTTTTTGACATTCTCGTTGCCGTTGCCGTCGCCGTCGCCGTCGTCGGATCTTAAGGTCCCACTTTTCTTCCAACATTTTTGATATTCCAATTCGGTCTGGCACGCACGATCACCAACTTGTTCGAGAAAAGCCTAGGACCAGGCTCATTGGTTAGGATAATTAACAATTATTGGATGAGGCTGAGTATCATTTCAAGAATTATGGAGATTGAGGAGGGTGTTATCAGGCGGAGGCGGATAGCACCTTCCGAGATCTCCATAATTCTTCACATGATACGAAAGCCGAATTCAATAATTGTTTTATTTTTTAATCAAACTACAGTGTCAGAACAGTGAATCTTCTATTAAACGGACACCTTCGGTTAATGAAGCTAAGGAAGCTGTGCTGTACTTTGTGCAAG